TGAATCTATTTTTCGGTCCTGGATGTTGTCATCACTGAAAAGAAAACAATAGGTGGAAAGTGGGCTCAACAGTTCAGTTGATGTAAATCTCCACAGTCAAGAGATTTAAGAACTATCTGCAGAGGCCTTGAAGAGGTCTTCTCACAAGATACCTTCACAGCCTTGCTCTCATAACACAGGGACGCCAAACAGTTCCTTGAGAAAGACCCACATTTGTCACAATATAAGAGAAAGGGTGACAAGGTCATTAGGAATTTAGGCAGATAGTCAAATATGGTGGGGGTTTTATTAGCTTATCTGTCAAGAATCTGCTGCTTGTCTTTGTAAAGAACTGTTCCATCACCTATTTCATCACATATTGTGGTCTGTACATCAACAAGGTGGACCTACAAGGCAGGAGTTTCTAATAAAGTGGCTGGGTACTGTATACTCCATACAAATCTAAAGACTCAAATATCCACAAGTACAGTGTAAAATATCCACAACTAAGTGTAAAAATGGCTTGAAGCTCCAAACAGGAAAATACTACAGCTTGTTCTGCAGAGGGTCTTGCTGGACTTGTAACCTAAGCCCCAGAAGCCTGGTCCAGGTTTTTGAGCAGGTCAGAGTTAGGGGACAGCATGATAGAAGATGTGATAATGGGATGTTACAGTGTGCTCGGGCCTGCTGTGAGCAGAGGACAGAGAGCAGCGGGATGCCTACAGGCCACTGACACAGCCATCATCGCGCAGCCACAGCTAAACCTGAACTGCACCAACAGACACCACCGCTTCTGCCGTAGGATACAATGAGAAATCCGGTATTTCAGCTGGGTTCATCAGAGAGTAGGGATGTATTTAGATTCTTTCGCTGCGCAGCGTTTGCACTTGATCTGGTTATGCTTACATACAGTCTACTTACGTGATGTCTTGATGAGTGTGGCCCAACTCTGCACACCAAAGCTCATCAAATACGTGCAGATGCCAGAACAAAAACATCTTTTAAAGTTATGTAAGAATCATTTAGCGAGAAATCCTTGTCAGTTCGTCAACACATTTGTTTCCTGCAGGTCTGTTTTGGTTGCAGCCTGTTTTGCAAAATCGCCCACCCCTACATGTCACACTAAAACAACAATTTTGCGTGACAGTCAAATGGCCCTTACTGGCTACTCGGCCACATTAAGCAGCAAAATGCACCAGTCTCATTGACGACAGGCAGCAGTCTAGATAGATACAGTTTAATCCACTTACAAAAGGAGAGTCAAATGGAAAGTAAGTGAAAAAACAAGAGTTTTCAAAACTGGAGTTCAGAAAATTAATGGAAAAATGGGAAAGAGAACCGTGCAAGACCTAGCAGACCACCAAAACTGTCACCACCACATAAACAGTTCTTAAAGTGTTTATCTTTGAGAGATAGAAGAAAATCAAGCTCCACTCTTCAAATCTGAAAAAATCCACAGGTGTTTCTGTCCATCCTTCCACTGTGAGAAACATCTCAACACTGTGAGTCTGAAAGGATGTGCACATGTGAAGAAGCCTTTACTGAGAAAAGAAAGTAGACAAAAAGTAAGAAAATGCGCAACAAACAAAGAAGTTGCTGATGGTCTCAGAATTTCTTTGAAAAACTGTGGTGACACTAAATATTGAGAATTTTGATGGAATTTTCGGTGTAATTTTCTTTTAAATATGGGGTCTGCTTTTTCCCTGATGTGTGAAAATTAATTAAAATTTAAATAAAAATGAATGTCCATCATAACTGGAAATTAACTAAATTGTGTATGACCACAGACATGACCTAACAACGTAAAAAAAGTTTCAGGTGGTCATTAAGTAAGGTCTATTTTCTTTTAACAACATTTTTATTCTTATACTTGAGCTATCTCTGTGAGAACACACACACACACACACACACACACACACACATGCACGCTCACACAGTGAATACTGAATGTCTCAGCTGAATTCAGCCGCTGCAGGCTTTGACCCAGATATCCAATCATATGGATAAATAGACAGTACCATTAAACAGAGAATAGTTCTAAAATTTAAAAGTTTCGCAATGAATCCTGCTTAAAACGGAGCATTTTTGTCCTGACCAGCGTGGAGAACATTTAACGCGACAATGCATTAAATTACAGAGTGGAACAGACATCTACTCACAAGTTCTCATAATAAGCAATAAGAAAAACTGTACTTTTTGGGAGGGAACGACTGACTACGGAGAGAGTTTTTAGCTATTAAAGAGCCAGTATCATACAAACCCAATTCCAAAAAATTGAAACAGTTAGTAAAATGCAAATTAAAACATACAGCAGTCATTTATAAATCAACTTTGATTTCTATATTTGAACAGAAACAGTACAAAGACACGATACCTCATCAACTTAATCGCTTTTTGTAAATATACATTTACTCTGAAATTGATGCCTGTAACACATTCCAAACAAGTTGTGATGGGGATAATTCAAGACTAGGAACAACGTGAAATGTTCAAAACCCCTCATTAACAGGTGTTTAATCATGCTTGGATATACAAAGAACATCCAGGATATCATCCACAATTTCAAGGAATCTGGAGAAATCTCTGTGCATAAAGAACAAGGCCAAAAACCACAACTGAGTGACCATGATTTTCGACCTTCAAGACAGCACTGCATTAAAAACTGGCATGTTTCTGAGATAGATGTCACAATATGGGCTTGGGAATATATTGACAAACCGCTGTCAATAAACACTGTCTGTTGGTGCATCTACAAATGCAAGATAAGACTGTAATATGCTCAGTGGAAGCCATATGTCAACAACGCCTGGAAAAGCTGCAGACTTCTCTGGGCTCTAGCTCATCTGAAACGGACTGATGCACAGTGGAAACGTGAACCGTGGTCTGACCAGTCAACCTTTATTATTTATGGAAATAATGGACGTTGTGTTCTCAGACCAAAAAAAAAGACCATGCAAATTGTTTCCAGCATAAAGTTCAAAATCCAGGGTCTGTCATAGAATGGGAGTATTAGTGGGTAACCTGTACATTTGTGAAGTTACATTACTGCTGAAGACATTTTAGAGCAATAAATGCTGCCTTTTAAGTGCTGTCGTTTCCAGTGACACCCATGCTTATTTCAGCATGACCGCGCCAAGCCACATTTTGCATGTGTTAGAACAGCATGGCTGCATGATGAAAGATTGCAGGTGCTAGACTTGCATTCAATATGTGAGTCTTATTAATCTCAAAATACAACAAAGGCTCTATACAGCTGCACAGCATAAGACTTATATGATAGAAGAATGACAAAACCCTTTCAGAGCTGATCCAGTTTGTGGTTTTAGTCCCCAAACAATTATTACATGCTGAAAAGGTGAAAAGGGAAAGGTGATTTGGTGGAAGGCATGCTCCTGTCTCAACTTTTTTGGAACGTGAAGCTGGCATCAAATTTTAATGCGAACAGTTTACAAAAAACAATGAAATTCATAAGGTAAGACATAAAATATTGAGATTTTGTACTGTTTTCAATTTAATGCAGGTCAAACTGAATTTACTATTCACTGCTCTCTGCTCTCTGAATTTTAAATACCATCCCAACTTTTTTGGAATTGGGTTTATACATTTTTTTGTATTATATTTTTCCCCTTGAGTGTCCACTTATCACATTTGTGTGGTTTTATGTACCAAAAATGGTCATAATTCATTTATAGTGATTTAAGATAAATTAGCTCTGTTCTGACTGGTTGTCCTGTATTGTGCTCCATTCAAAAAGTACTCAGAGCTAAACCCTCCATAGAAATTCAATATGAATGGGCAGGGCTAAACTGCTGTAGGCACAATAAGTGGACATAAGTAAATGTTTTGATTCTCATGACATCACAGAAACCATGAATTCAAAACAGGCATGCATGTATGGACTGCATACATGCATGCAGGGAAGTGAATGATATGTTTTGAAGCTTTGCAAATGTTTGCATTTTACTTCAAACTCCTTTATTTCTAAAAGGCAAAGAAAATTTACTTTGCCATTTTAGTTAGCCCTTTAAAGTAACTGAACTGTCACATCTTTTATCTTTTAACAGAAAATACACATTCATCTGTCCTAATAGTCTCAAATGGATGTTAAAGGAATGACACAATTTGAATAAACCAATTCTACAAGCAGATAGCAGGCGGTCAAGGATACATACAACTCACATTCATACAAAAAGCCCATAATGTCCAGTAGTAGTAAATCAAGGTGACTTGTAGCATAAAATGTAAATATGTTTCAGATCTCACTGGAGACACATTGAATCATAAGATCTTTCATTAAAACACAAGAATGTTAATGAAAAATATGTGTTTTGGTACTGATAGTTCTTAATGTTACACACGGATTTTCAGACTTTGTGACACTTTTACTTCAAAGCAATCGGATCTAACAGCTCACCATGTGGCCATGAGGGACATGGATGCAATCTCACTTCCTGCTCTAAAATGAAGGGGTGTGGTTAGAATTAGGCTCTGCCTATGGACTAAAACTCTGTGACAAGAAAAAGTGGGACAGATGTTTTTGAATAAGGTATATATTTACCTTATATATTTAAATTTGTTCAAACTGTAAAAAAAACAAACAAAAAAAATACTAAACAACAATTAAGCATCCAGATCTTAGATATTTACAAGAATTATATTATAATATATATATACACCCAAGGCCTTAATTTATAGGGTACTTTCTATTGGGAGCTGGCTGTCCCAAACCCTAATCCCGAAAGGTCAACTTTCTTTCAAAGTGAAATTGAAAGATTTAGATCTTAATCTTAAGGTAAACTTTATAAAAAATGATTTGGTAGAATGATTCCTATATAGACTCACTTGACTACAAAGCAGGGACCACATGACCAACTTTTTTTACTGTTTATCTGCTGCTGCTCAGACTTTTTGAATGCATGCTTGTTTTTTTTCAGCCCCAACTTTTGGGCTTTCTTCTCTTTCGGCTGAAATGTTTCATAACTGTGATGCAATAATGTGGATGACAGAAAATAAGCCTGTACCTCCTGAGTAGTGGCCGCCAGTTGCCCCTCTAGTGTAGTCACTCTCTCTAGAGCCACACGCAATCGCTCACGCACCTATCAGGAAGACAACATACAAAAATCACCACTCTGAATTCATTAGATCAGCAGTGTCCAGTCTTATCCGCAAAGGGCTGGTGTGGCTTCAGGTTTTCATTCCAAAAAGGCGGGAGATCAACTGATCTAAAGTTTGGAGACTGAGGCTGATTAAACAAGTGGGTTAAGGTGTACTGCTGCTGGTTTGGAACAAAAACCTGCAACGACAGATTAAGTTTGGACACTCTTCCGTCAGGTTGAATGAGATCTTTGCCACCATTCTGTAAAGGTTTGCTACAAAACTGCTCTGTGGATGGAGCTGTGTAGGTCAATAAAATACGTAATTACACTGTTTACAATTTCACTTTATTTGAATAGCACACTATTGATTATCTACAGATGTTGTAATGATTTACTGTCTGATAGAACAACAGTGTTAAGATTAAGGTTAGGATTAATATCAAATTATTACCAGAGTTTTTGGGTTGAAGTTAAAAGGCCCATGTCCTACATTTTTTTTTGTATAATATTTTTTCCCTTGAGGTCCCCTTGTCATTTTTGTGTGGTTAAATGTACCAAAAATGGTCATCATTCATTTAAACAAGACTATTTTCTCATCTCTGATTGGCTGTCCTGTTTTGTGCCTCAGTCAAAAAGCACTCAGACAGGAGGAAACTCATTATAATTACAGCATGACAGGGTGGGGCTGAACTGCAATAGGCTAAATGGGTGGATATATGCAAATGTTTTTGTTCTTGTGATGTCACAGAAACACTGAATTCAAAACGAGTTGTTCTTGCAGCTTAGTTTCCATGTATGGACTGTATGGATTGGGCAGTGAATGGTATTTTTTGAAACATTAACAGTATTTACACCAGGCCTGGGCAATATCAAAACATAACTAGCTTGATATTTTCTAGTTTACAAAAATCTGTGTTTATGTCACCCCCAACCAAGACATGTGGTCCACTGTAGCTTAGACTTACTTTCTATTCTATTTTTAGTTTATATATTCTTTTAAAACATTAACTGTTTTAATGAAAATATTTAATAAAAGTGATATATTAAATAATACAATACTGAGTAACACAAAATATTTTTAAAAACGACTGCAAATATGTGTTCACTCCTTCTGGTGTAGATTCATGGATACTTTCTGGCTAATAGTGCTCCTTGAAGGAGAAACTTCAGACTACAAGTGATTTCCAAAGCAATCCCCACATGCTACACAAATTATAAGATGAGTTTTCCATCATTGTAGCAGAGTCACTCTGCAGCTCAGCTATAGATGGCTTTGGAAAACCATGTAGTACAATATTGTCGCATTTTGCACAATGTAACTCATATTAAACAATGGGACATTTACGCTGTACGGAAAATCCTGCAATTTTTTTCTCAGTAAATCACACTTTGGGAAACCCACAGCAGTGGGGAGACAATGACAGGGACAGTGGGGAATTTACTCTAGTGTAGCTTAATGGCTTTTAAAGGTCCTATTATAACCCCATGTTTTAACAGTACAAATGAATAAAACGTTATATGTACATACTATTTAATATTATTTGATACATTTTTCTGATCCTGTTTCCTGGCCTTCTACATGGATCAGATGAACTATCTGTACTTCTAAAAGTTCCAGGTTACAGGTAGCTGCTTTAGGGTAATGCCCAGTCACTTAGCTTAGTTGTTCTACTGCAGAGAGTCACACTGAAGAAAACTGTTCCAAAGCATGTCAGTATTTATTTTCGGTTCCATGCACTCAGGCTAAACTTACTATAAAGTAGAATTAGTAGAAGGAGAGGAGCTGTGGGGTAAAGCTAGCGTCACAGTGCAAAGCACAGAGAACTAATTTGCAGCTTCTTAACAAAATTCTCTCTCTCTCTTTCTTCCTCTGACTATTTGGGTGCACGGCCACACTGTTTAAAGGAACATCAACTCCAATTTTCCATCATATTTAGCAAACTGTTTAACGGCAAATTAGTCCTCTCTTGTTCTCTGTCAGTTTCCCAAAACTGTGATTATTGCCTTTTACACATCGCCATCAGGTTACTCATCAATCATCAATGATATCAGATTACAGCGCGTTATTGCTCAGGCCTAGTTTACACCCTACTTCAAACTCCTAGGGAAATATGGTTTTCCATGATATGGGCCTTTGAGGTTAGGATTAGGAACAGGTTACGGGTCAGGGAAAATTAAGAGGAATTTAATAGATATTTAGTTAATGTAAATATGTAAGTTAAATGCATCTACAGTGGGCTATACAAACAAAGTGTTACCTCATTATGCTTGAAAAGTACAGGAAAAACAAAAAGTAACAACTCTTGACTTCTTACAGTTAACATCAAGTCAGCTGCTTTAGGCTATGACTAAATGCTGAAGAGGATGGGGAAAGTGCAGGAATAAGCTCATACCTTCTCATCCAGGGCTTTGTGATGCTCAAATAAGGACTTCAGAGCCTTCAGCACCTCCACTTCACTAGAGACTCCAGAGGGCGGAGGAGCCTGCCTCTTCACCACAGTCATCCTCAGAGACCGCTCGTGACGAGACACCAAGCACTCCAAATGCTCCAGGAGGAGCTGCACAACAGGGACATACACATAATTCTTTACAAATTGAATGAACCCCACTAGGGGAAATTCACCGATTTTCACGTAATTCAGTTGTTAAGATGTAAACAAAGTTATTCAAAGTCTAGAAAACAGTCATTCTACAGAAACTTAGCAAGTCAGAATTGTTTACTGTGGTGGTGACAGGAACCAGACGTCTGAAGAACCCTATCAAACCAAGCATCTCGCTGGCGATAAATCCCGAGAACTTGGCGACTTTCCCTTTAACTTGTTTAAATATGCTGTTATGACACATATATAGCATGTAGAAATCAGAGTTGTCTGGGTGCTACCATCTTTCTATCACTGTTTAAAAGATGCACAAGGATTCCTTTATTGTTGAATGTACTGTCATTTTTTCTGAGAGACCATCCGAGCTCATTTGAAGCACAATCCAGAATGGGAGGCGCTTACTATTGTCTTGTTTAAACAAATAAAGAGTAACAATAAAGTGTGACTGATGTGCGATATATACTCTTATAACGCAACAAAATCTACAAAACTTTAGCTTTCTTAGATCACATTCTTTAAATATCGAATACACGCATCAACAGCACTGAGAAATCATGTTACTAACAGACAGCACTGGACTGGAAGCTAAGTTCAGGCCTCGACCTTTGCCCACTACAGCTACAGCCCCACCATGAAAAAACCATGAACAACAAATAAACACAGTTTATCTCTTTATAAAACATGAACATGAATGCATCAAAGACTCTGTTGCTTGGCTAAGAACTGGAGTGACTCCTAGTTAGCTGGCTAGTTAATTAGGGTGTGACACATTAACATTAAGCTAGACACTTGTAGCCTCAGTGAACAAGTAGACTGGATAAACTGGCAAACTCACCCTACTGCATTTGATATACAAACAAATCATGTACATTCATTTATTCATTTCTTTGTATCTTGCTTAAGTAACTTTTTGTTCTTTATCATGCACCCCCCTCCCTCCCTTGTGCTTTTTCAAGGTTTTCTCCATCTCTCTCTTTAGCTAGCCTTTCATGGTTTAACCTTCCCACTTGTTATCATGATGCTTTGTTCTGAGGCGGCGGCGTTTGTGTAACTTCATTCATTTTATACAGGGCTACATCAGAAACGGCCATGCAGTTCTCTCTTTCTCACTTTCTCTGTGACTATTACACTTAGCAGACCACTGGGAATTGTCCCAGTCCTCTCAATGGCCAGTCCATCCCTGCTAACGGAGACGAGTAGATTGGATAATATGTGTATATATACACACACACACACACACACACACACACACACACACACACACACACATATACATATCAATATATATCAAATCATGCAAACCATATTTTTAAAGAAAAATACCGCAAGGACAACATATCAAATGTTGAAATTGGGAATTTTTTTTTGTTTAAATATTTGCACATTTTGAATTTGATGCCAACAAAAAAAAAAAAAGTTGGGACGGGGCATGTTTACTACTGTGTTGCATCACCTCTTCTTTTAACAGCACTCTGTAAGCGTTTGGGAACTGAGGACACCGACTGCTGTAGTTTTGAAAGTGAAATGTTTTCTCATTATTGTTTTATATAGGATTTCAGCTGCTCAACAGGTCGGGGTCTCCTTTGTCGTATTTTTTATTTCATAATGCGCCAAATGTTTTAGGTGGGTGACGGGTCTGGACTGCATGGATTTACACACCCATACATAAAAAGGAAGTTTATTAAAAAGTGTTATAATGCATGACTGCTATAAAATAACTTTAATAAAAGAAGGTATTTCATATTCATTATTATTAGGTAAAAGACCTGTAAACTGTCATGAAGAAACTTCTTCACTAACAAGACAACGCATTTTTTTAAATCAATCAAGATTAAAATGGAGTGTTCCACAGAGAACTGCCTTAACACACCCTCCGGATTAAACTTTAAACATGCACTCTAATACTTCCTCTCTCTCTCTCATTCTGTCTCTCACATACCCTGGTGTTATTCCTCTCTGCTTTAAGCTCTGAGATTTCCTCCTCTTTCTCCAGAAGCTGTTCCCGACATGTATTCAGCTCCTTGGTCAGCGTTGCAAACTCCTGCACACACAAAGAGATAGAGAGAGAGAGAGAGAGAGAGAGAGAGAGAGAGAGAGAGAAATTTTGCATGTAACTTCAATTCAGTATAGTTACACTGTTATGTAAGTACTGTTCTTTATATTTAATTACTAGGGATGTTTAATTACACAGGTACTCTAGGACTCTTTTAACTGTTTGAGGTGTTAGTATTTGAACACTGAAATCCCAATTCACGTACATATTTCTTATTCTGGGAAAACAGACGAAACATACAGGCTAACAATTCAGTGAAATGTTGCGTTTATGCTTTAACAGGACTGCAAGATGTGGTGACTTTACTTGTATTTGCAGGGGAGCGCTAAGTGAAATCGATGAATGGTTGGCCGGGGATGGGTGGGCGAGTTGTGACAGGGGTGGGCTCAGTCACACTTACTATCAAGAAGAGGGCCTTCGATTAAAAAATGTGAAAGCTGTTGATATATATCATATGTAACCCAAGGTCTTCAAATCTGGTCCCTGAATCCAGTTTCCAGCCCTGGATCTTGCAGTCACTGGTAGGTGTGACACTAGGTGGCCAATCAACAGTTTACATTAACAGTTCAGTTTACTACCAGTGATTACAAAATCTAGAAGTGGAAACTGGATTCAAGGTCCAGATTTGAAGACGTCTGAAAATGTACAGTCAGTGGTTAAAACTCCTGGGGAACTCCATTGAGGGGAAACTGTAGCTTTCCATTTTGCTATTGCTTTTGTTAGACTGCTCCTTATTGATTTATCCACAGTTCTCCTGCGAGCACTGTCCATCATAGTCTGCTCAAGGCGTTGAAGGTAATGCATCTTGGGGCAGTTAACATTGCTGCCGGGTGGCATTCATTACAATTACAAAATCATACCATTGCAAGAACATGCACTCAGGAGATAGCATTGCATTATATAAAGATGGGAATGTAGCAACATTGTGTTATGTGTAGATGATGTATAGATTTGGCCATGTATGGGCATGGATGGTGAGGTACAGAACTTGTGTTATTGTTATTCAACTCGTTTTGTATTAAGCTTACTTCATACCTTATACAGGGTATCTTTACTTGATCTGAACTGCAGTTATGCAGATTTTATTCACACTGATTATAAGTGTTGGGTAAATGTGCACTGTAACTCCAGCCATACATTAATCCAATCTGAAAAATTCACATCAGATTAGCACCTTCTTACTGTGTTTTGGGGGTTTTATATGCTGTATATATGGATGTGCTTGAAGCCTAGAAGTGATTCAAATATTAATGGGTTTGCTGATGTGTAACTGTTTCTAACAGAGCTTGTGCAAAACTCAGAGGTATCATCTTTAACACCAGGCGCAGACAGAATAAGTTTACTGCTGTTGCTCCAGAGAGCAACCTAACCAGCACACCCTTACATATGAAATAAAAAAACAACAAAACGTATCTGTACGGGCCCTGGACGTCCACACTATCTTAGCTCTCAGCTCCAACTGACTCTGTTCTCACTGTTCTTCACAGAAACACACAGCTAGCAGGCTAGACCCGCTTTCACAACAGAAGCCTTTGAAGAATAAACCCAGAGAACAATGGAGAACAATAACCCAGAACAAACATGCACACCATTTGCTGAACACTCTACTATATATTTGATCTGATGTGTTTCAAAAATATAGCGCCATGTAAATTGGACATTTAAATAATCCGCAGCATGTCTACTAATTATAATTTAAAAAATTGAGAATATCAGTAAGCCAATCTAATCATGAGAACTCCTCATATGTCAATACACGTGTACTTGTTTACAAATGGATTTTGACCACACCAACATGATGGACACAGACGTATCACCTCAGATTGAGAACAATAGATAACGCAGCATCTATGTATTTATATCTATGAGTAAAAGCCTCTGTTTAACTCTCTAACTAAATTTTGTTGACATGCCAACATGTCACGCTTTCAAATACAGTGAGGAAAATGTCTTTAAGTAACTTCCTCCATGCTACAGTCACTAGTGGTGTAGGCTTTGGAATTAACTTGCTAATGAGTATTAGGTATTTTGACAAACTCTGAGTTGGACGCTATTTTTTGATTGAATGGGATTCTGTAAAGCTTGTCCAACCTGGCAACAGTAGCCATAGAAGAACACTTTTGTGGGCAGAGCATAGATATGTCAATTAACAAGAGCACCAGCAAAAGAACGGAGAGGTTCTGTGACCTAGAGATGTGGAAGAATCACTTAGAGCTTGAAATATTTGTCCAAAACCAGTGGGACTCGTCTATTCACGTTGGGTTTAGATGGGTTCAGATGTCAATATTTGTCATGCTAAAGAACAGTTTATATTCTGCCACTTATGTAATCAACAGAATTTAGCACTTATGTCCACGAAGCACATGCTGGAGAAAAACAGTAAATAAAACAGCAAATCGATTCAGGAAGGTAAAGTTTAGTGCAGCCAAAAGAAAATTTAATTTGTTTGGCAAAAATATTTTTATGTTACATGTTCAGTGTGTATTATGTAACATGTTTGGGCAGATTTAGTGAGTCTGGGGCTCTAGGCAAAAGACAGGAACAGTGGCCCCCTGTGTGCACATTTTTTAAATAGCTGAAGCTGTTGCGCATCTACACTGCAATAAATGAATCAACAAATAATCCTTGGCAAATGAAATAATTCTAGTTGATGCATTTGATATTTCTCAGTTTGAGATTATAAGATCATTTAACCTATTTATAGACATTTTTTACTTGAGTAATTTTATGAAGTGAAATTATCTCACTATATTGGCAGATAATTTTGCTTGTGTTAAGAAATAATGCTTGAAACAAGCAAAATGATCTGCTAATTTGGTGAGATAATTTGGTAACTCCCACTACTCGTTTAGAAGTAAAGAGTAGTGGGAGTACTTTTCCAAGGAAGTAATGTAATCCAATTACATTTTGAGAGAAGTAATTAGTAACTAGTAATGGAATATTTTTTGAGTAATTACCCTAACACTGGTGCTATCCATGCTAACATTAGTGCTAGCTTTATGCTGAGCCTGAATAAAAACTGAAACTGACCTCATCTATAATGTAGATTATCACGTAATTGACTTGTTTATACCTTTTGGCCTTAATCAGTTGTGTCATCACATAACAACATGAAATAGTCCATTTTAACCACGTTTGGAAGGTGAAGCTGCACTGAAATGACAGAGAAGAATCACTACAAGCACAAATAACCGCTATTTTTACAATGTACATATTTCGGAACAGGTTATTTAAAATCAACACATACGATATAATCTAATTTCATGGGGTCCTTGGCTCATGGGGGGCCCTAAACAGCTGCCTATCGTTGCCTAGACTGCCCCTGAACATCTTCTATTTAAAGAAATATGTCATAACATCTTACTATATCAGCGCTTCACAGCGTGAAAATTGATCCAGATTTGAACAATTTGAGGTGTTGTTTAAAAGCATTGTAAATTTGTTAAAGAATTTAAACTTAAGTTTGGACAGCCGACTATTTTGTTATAGCAGATTGTTTTATATTTTACAGCTATTATTGTCACTACATGGTAACCAGTGTTATCCTGTAAGGTCTGTTCACCACTTTGGGTAATGAAGGGCCAATTCAGGTCAGTTTCAAACAGAATTTTGCTGTTTTCTGATTTAAAACTCTGCCCAGGCTCAGAGAGAAAACTCTCAGGCTGTATTTGGGTTCGGACCATCAGTTCAGTCCCAATTAAAGCTTTACAACACACATACCATACAGTCAAAAGAGTCCATATCACACATGCCATTGATTTCAGCCTCCACTGCCATCCACTCCATTTCCGTGCACTGTGCCAAGCATCCGCAAGCTGTGTGCCAAGCATCCCCGTGGTGTATTGCTAAGGGCACATGCCCCAACACTGGCTCAACTTCCCCACTCCACTGTCCTGAGTGCATCACAGCAGCAGCAGCCTCGCAACCCCTCCAAAAACGTCCCAGGCTCAGCCTACGGCACTAAGCTCAATTACCACAGCTGCTCCTCTCCGTCTTTCAGCAAAAGAACAACCCGTTTCACGGCCGTTACAAAGCGTGCAATGTCCTCTTGCAATATCCTTAGAGAAATGTCCCAAGAACAGCCTGGTCGGAAAAGAGGGTCAAGCAAAAGAACCATCCTGTGCCGTGCGTAACAACAGGCCAATGTGTAATTCTTCCACTACACCGACTAATCTTCTAATCTCTCCGCTTTGACGCGAGATGAAAAAAACAAACACCCCCCGCCCAGAGATAGAGTGAGTGTGGGTTTTCTTCGAGAGCCATGTCAGCATGCTTTTGGGGATACACACGTTAGTGCTGGCACTTTTCTGCCTCAGGGAAGGCCTACTGGCTGATTCTCAATGTTTGTATACTCTCAGGACCAGATGGGGAAAAAGTGAAATGGGGACATCAATGCATTTACACACACATTATGACATCTCTGTCGGGACTGCTGGCATACAGTGAAGGGAAACAAGTACTCAGCCACTTTTGTTTTTGTTATTCAATATACTTCCATAAATCCATGTGAAGTTTACACACATAATGGCCCTTATTCATCTGTGTACGCTGACATCTGGTTGTAAAATGAGTGCATGCAAATCTCAATAATGCTGCAATAATACAGCAAAATGAATAGATTAATCTTAATGATTAATCTTATGAAAATAATCACACTACATAATCACATCATTCTACCATCTTTAAAAAGGGGTTTTGTTTATTTTACATTTTGTTCTTTCCAGTCATTGTAATGTTAACGCTGTAAAGTTTGGTCAGCAGGGGGAGCAGTGCACTCACCGCTCAATCTCAAACTCCGCCCACGAGCACAGCCTTTGGCTCACGAGCCGATGAATGCTATGTATCTATTGGGTCATTACCAAAACATCTGCACGAATTAGGCGTGCTTCATGTAAATGATATGTAAATGAGGTGCTGGTAGGCTGGCGCTTGATTTCACGCACCAAAGTTGATCTATCATTTGCGCTTAAATCTCTGATTGTTTTCAC